TGTAGCAATAATTGAAAGAATTCGTCTTTGACCATTTGGACCTCTATTTGTATTTTCCAATGCGTTACGAAATGCTTGCCAAAATGTAAGAGATTGATTTTCTTGATAATATGGATTTTGTTGGAGGAATCCTGATTCATAAAGTATTTGTAATGTTGTACTATCTTTTTGAACGTTATCTGATTTCGTCCAAAATTCAAACTAAATTAAAAAAATTATTTGTCAATAATAAATAAAAAAGTCAACTCATTTTTTTGCATAATTACTAACTTTAGATTCTCCATTTTTGAAGGGGGTGATATTAGTACATCCTGCATTTCGAACAAATGCTCTCCAAGCACGCCATTCTCGTTCATTAATTTCATAACCAGATGGATATAAATCTAAAATAGCTTTCCGTAATTCTAAAATATCACTTTTCTGATTTAACCATTTATTAAATAAATCATGCCATTTGACCTCACGTGAAATTCTTCTTTTCAAATGATATTTATAAAGATTTTCTAACACTCCCTCTAAAGTCCAGTCCAATACCGTGCAAGAAGGAATTTGTGCTTGTTGAATACAAATTTGCGTATACGGATTTTCTAACCCAAAAATTTTTTTTCCAGAATAATTTGAAAGTCTGCCAATACATAACCAAACTTCATTAGGATCAATAGCATTATACGTTTTTATCAAAGTATCATTAGTATATATTTGAACTACACACTCTTCATCTTCTATTTCTTGAATAAAAGCTGATTTTATACCATTGTAATGGGATTGAAAGACGGATTTATATCCTTCTCCTGCATAATTCCATTCTGGTTTTTTTGATTTTCCCATTCCCAGCACAATTACGTTCAATTTTCCAAGACTAATCATATATGGACGAAATATAATATCATCAAGTAATTGTTGTATAATATTTGAATTGTCAAAACCCATAACTTGTGGACCAGGGAACTTTGCATTTGAACGAAAAACTTTTTCATAGCAGGTGTTAATAGCTTCTGTTGGTGAACTGCACACACCTGACTTATATTCTTCAGAAAAACACAAAAATCCAGGAGAATTTGGATGTTGAGTATCTTTTACAACGGTAATTATGAAGTCACATTTTTTTAAAACTGTATGAGTTTTCATTCCTAAACGAATCGGAAGGAGAGGAGTATGCGTAGGATTCTTATTTATTGGTCGCGCAAGCCACCAGTTATGACAAAATGGACCAAAATGTAAATTTTCTACAATTTTGCCTGGGGAAATAAGTGTTGTAATGTATTCTTTACTTTTACTCATATGTTTTGACTTTAAAAAAGAAGTTGGGTATGTAAAAAACGCGAGATTCTAAAAGACGCGAAATCGCATATGCGTATTATCCCCGGATTTTATATATGTCGATCACTACTTTATATACGGATCACGAATTAAATGAATCACAAAATAAGACTGAAGAATTTCTAAATGAAGTATGTGATGTATAGAATTTATAAAATTGTAATTAAATATCATACATTCTTTAATATATTAACAGGTTTTTTTATTCTTAACAGATTAAGGCATATTCTATGAATAAGTATGGTAGTAATATTATCAGAATATATGGAATATCTCAAGACCCAAAAACAAAAAATTACATAATAGTTCTTCAATATGCAGAAGGTGGAAATTTTAATGATTGGATAAATAAATGTTATAAAGATTTTGATTGGAACAATAAATTACGGACATTATATAATATTATTATTGGTTTAAATGAAATTCATCAAAAAGAGATGGTTCATCGTGATTTTCACACAGGAAATATATTATTTGAATACGAATATGTTAATCAATATAATGATACATATATTACAGATATGGGATTATGTGGAGAAATTGGTAATGTAGACAAATCCAAAATTTATGGAATTATGTCTTATGTAGCCCCAGAAGTGTTAAGAGGAAAACCTTACACCAAAGCAGCAGATATATATAGCTTTGGTATGATTATGTATTTTGTAGCAACTGGAAGACAACCTTTTTCTGATCGTGCTCATGATAAGTTATTAGCATTAGATATATGTAATGGAATTAGACCTAAATTATATGAATTAAAAGCACCAAAATGTTATGCTGAATTAATGAAAAGGTGTTGGGCCTCGGTTCCAGACAATAGACCAGATGCTATTGAAGTAGAAAATATTATTTATTCGTATTATTTTAGTTTAAATGATGAAATTAAAAAGCAATTTACAGAAGCAGAAGAATACAGAAAAATAAATATTTCATCTATTGAAATTAATCAAACAACACATCCACAAGCTAGTAATATATCTCGATTACTAAATCCTTTTACGGAAGACCTTCCTTCCGAATGTTTAGACTGTTTAATTGCTGATTAAACCATATATTATGTTATTAGTATAGTACTAAGTTATAGATTATATTTATTTAAATTTGCTCCACATTCTCCCAATTCATCTTTTTTTTTTAGTAAAGTTCTTGCTTCTTATATTGTTTTATTAGTGTTCCGTTGTAATGATTTTGTTCAAGAGTATATGTAAAATTTGTTCTTTACATCAATAAAAATCAGTCTGTAATTGAACAATATTATCAAAAATCATCAATTGCTCTTTCGAAATGTTGACGTACTGTAGATCCATTAACATACTGTACGTACGTAAAAAATCACAAATCACATTTTCTTTATACAAATGAGTGTTAGTTAAAAAGTTGTCAATAAAAAATGGCAAGGGATATTGATTATTGAATACATTTTTTAGTTATATTCAAATACATGTAATAGAATGAAGAAAGAGAAGGGTGAGTTAAGAAAATGGCGAAATAAATATTTTGATAGATTTAACAAAAGATCGGAAGACAAATGCATTTTTATTTAATTTAAAAAAAGTGAGTGTGCAAATTGAATTTAATTAACCTTTAAATGTAACATTTAAACCTAATAAATAGCATGCTTAAACTGGGAACAATGAATAACTATATATCTTAAATTTTACATTAACATTACTAAAGCAAAAAAATATATACATTGTAATTTCAAAAAATATATTCTTTTTGAATATCATATAAAATTGTGACCTGGAAGAATATTTTATTCCTTTTTGATAAATTAGAAAATGGGAATCGCTAGAAAGTCCAATTCGTTAATTCATGATCAGAAGTAATACAAGCTATGACAGTCACGTGTAATATAAACAGAAATCACGCCTTCGAGCAAATTTGATCATACTGATTACACATATTTTAAAGTTGAAAAGTAATAAATAAAATAAATAATTTATTTAATATTTAGCCATTAACAAGAAAATATCAGTCCATCTATTTATTGCTATTGTGAGTGAAAAATAAGTATTGATTAAAATTTACTATATTAAAATAAATTACTGTATAATAAATGATGAATAATATAAAAAGACAATATTAAATAAGTATTAATTATACCAACTATTTAAAAAATTATGTAATTTTTTTTTTTTTTTTTTTTTTAACTAAAAAAATTATATAAAATATATTTCATTGCAGCACTTGCCCGATCCAAACCTAAAAAAATCGGTCCTTTCCGTAACACTACAGTATCNTTAAATAAAATATATTATTTCAAATAAAAAACCAAATATTTATTTCAATTACACGCAGCACTTGAAACCTAAAAGGCAAAAGAACGAAAAAAAAATAAGGAAAAGAAAGTATTAATAAATTATTAAAAGGGGGAAAGGTGCTTACTGTAGCATCGCAGTATCGATATCCAAACCTAAAAGGTGAAAGAACGAAAAAAAATTAAATGCCGAAAAAAAAATATTAAAAAAAAAAATCGGCTTAAAGAAAAAAAAACTGAAAATAAATTTGAAAAAAAAATTCTTAGAAAAAAAGGCCAAAATAATAAAAAAAAAGATTAAAATCAATAAGAAACTAAATTTTTTTCGTTAGTATTATCTGACATTAACCGGAACTGGATTAGCCTACAAAAATCTGCACGGAACGGAATTTATTTTAACTATAAATAACCTTATGAAAAAGGAATATCCAGAAAATGATTTACTTTGTTGTCCAGAATTTTTTCATGTCCAGTTTTTTTGTATATGAAGAATTCTATTTCTTCACTTTCTTTTTTTGATTATTTGGATTTATATCAAATACTAATGATCTCGTTATTCCCACCTTTCAATTTTACCATAAAATGGAAATCTGAAAAAACATTTAATGACCCATAATATAAACTTTGAAGAAATCCTAAAAAAAGTAGTCTATTAAGATTGTTTGTTAATTTTTTGGTCAACTTACTCTTTATATTTGAGCTATTTACATTTAGGTGTGGGATACGAAATGAGGATGGAAAAATTAATAATGAATTGACAAAATTGGATTCTTTATCGTAATCACTTATTACATATCAAAATATTGATTAAAATAGCACATGCATTAACTTTTTTTTATTTGAAAAACGTTAACAATGAAATTTATTTGATTATATTAGAAAATAATGAGTATAATTAATATTTAATTCCTTTTCTTTTCATATGAAAACTTCCATTACTTCTAATGATATCAATATGTTTCGTACAATGGAAAATATTAAAAAAGTAGAGTATCGAAAATTTGAATATAAAAAATTTAATCTGCTCACTTTTGTCTTAATTTGACAAAATGTATATTATATTTATTTTTATTCATGTATATAATCGTAACAGATGATATTTTTTTCATTACTTTTTTTTAAAAAAAATATATCGTTAAAAATTTAAATTTATAGGAGATCGGCAAGATAAAGAATGTCGGTCCAACTAATTGACATCATCTTTGCTTTAAACAAAATTTCCGATGATAATTTAATCAAAACAATATAAGCCTTAGTTGAACGATGAAAACATGATTTGAGTTTTTAATGCATGTTATGTATCATATGATCATATCAAAACTGTAAATCAATGATTATCACATGGAATACATAGACTTGCATCATCATATGAATTTGTGTGGAAAAGAAATCTTAAAATGCTTTATTTTTCGTGAAATAATTATCTTACATGTAAAAAAAAAGAAAAAAATAAATAATTTTCTTTTTTATTTTTTTTTTTCGTAATATATAATAGATAAAAATGTCGAATTCACTTCTGGCCGCAGCATTGAGCGCTGTTACGAATAATACAATTATTACTTATGATGATTATGTTGGAAAAAAAATTGGTGAGAATGTTTTATATTCAGTATTGGATCAAAAATCACTTCATCAATCTCATTTAGTTGGCGGTAAAGTACCAACATTACCTCCTAAAGAACCTGAAGTATATTATGGTGCTCAAATATTCGTTCAAACATTAACTGGTAAAAGTATTACAATATGCGTTGATTTTAGTGATACAATTTATTACGTAAAAGAAAAAATTCAGGATAAAGAAGGGATACCTCTAGGTCAACAAAAATTAATTTATGCTGGAATGTTACTTGAAGATGATTGTACGTTATCGGATTACAAGATAAAAAATGAATCCACATTAAATCTTATATTGAGATTACGTGGTGGTGGTGGACCTAGTAGTACTACGGCTTTATATATTCAACCTGATCAACTTGCTCCAAATTTTGATTATGATTTTACAAAAGTAAATGATAATGGGAGAACTTTTATGCGAGGAAATTTTGAGTACAAACGACCTTGCGGTTGGAAAAGAGTGGCTCTCAATGTATTTGATAATATGAAAATAACATTTGGCTTGGTCTCCGTGAAAATAAAAAACCATCAATGGATCCAGTAAATGACGAGTGGCCAGGTATTTATGTTAAATCTATTTTATTTATTTTTATTGTATATCGAATAAATATTTTAAATGTTTTATAATTATTAGTCTCTTATCATGGGACTGCTAGACGTAACTGTAAATCAATTGCCGAAGATGGGTATCTCTTATGTAAGAGTAAAAGATTTTGCATTTGGACATGGAATTTATTCTACTCCAGATATTGATGTCGCGTCTGAGTATGCTGCTAAATTTACTCATGAAGGGGATAGGTATCAAATTGTATTCCAAAATAGAATTAACCCAACCACCTTAGTTAGAGTTTCAAAAGAAGAAACCGGATTTGGTGAATATTGGATTTCACCTAATGGAAAAGATTTGCGTCCTCATGGTATTTGTATTAAGAAAATTAGTTTTCGTAAAATTTTATTTTATTTTATTTTTTTTTTTTTGGAAGCCGGTCATAGAAATCGTAAGAATCGAAATCCACCAATTTATATACTGCTAGTGAAAACACGAAACAAACGGTAGCATTGCGTAGATCAAGATGTGTATAAGAGACAGATATACTGCTAGTGAAAACACGAAACAAACGGTAGCATTGCGTAGATCAAATAACATTTATAGTTTATATACACACATGATCATTTTTCGTAAAAATTCGATAGCAAAACTAATTATATTAAAAAAAAAAAAAAAATTTATTAAAATGAATTGATGATAGTTATGAGAAAAAAGAATAACACGTAACTATGATAACAAGTAATTAACTTTTTTTGACTTTGACCAAATGATGTGTTTGCTTTAATTAAAAAATAATTATACTCGATATGGTATTTAGTGATGTCAACTTAAATGTTAAAATTGTTTTTTATTATTTCAGTATTAATTAGTTATTACAATTGTTAAAGCTATTTTTTTTAAAAAAAGTTTAAATGACCTATGTTTAATTAAAGTTAAAATTAACTTTTGTATACGATACGTATTTGTCTCATTTGAATTTAATCTTAATAAATTTTAGATCTACTAATTTATAATCTTTGGTAATACATTTGCGAAAATTAAAAATTGAATAATCAAAATAATAATTATAGATGAGAAATTAAATAAAAATTTTATTTTTAATTTATGGTTTTAAATATATTTAAAAAGAGTGAACAAATCGTTAATATTTGCTTCTGACTCAGCCAAGTCTTTTAAAAAACTTCTTGTCACCTGATCGGCCAATGTTGAGCAGTTGAGGTGCAAACAACAGATCAGAGAGGGAAAAGGAAGGAAAAGTGAGAGAAGGAAAGGGTTTCAAGCGAGGGAATAGAGGAAAGGGAAAGGGAAAGGAAAGGGGAAGGGAAGAGGAAAGGCCGATAAATGATCATTTTTTTAGTTTTCAAGAAACTAAGAATGTGATCATTTTTCTGAAAATTTTTTCATAAGGAAAGAGCGAGGGAATAAGGAAATGGAAATGGAAAGAGCACTTCCAGCCTACATACCTACAAGATGTAAAAAAAGGGAACCAAAGAGAAGACCTAATAAAAAAAGACCTAAAGAAAAGAAAAGATTTATCGGGTGAAAATATTCTTGGTTTATTAGTTTTATCTGATGAACCATGTTCAAGATTATTTAATCGAAAAACCAAAGAAGACCTAAAGAGCAATTTTTTTTACTTTTATTCATATGACTGATTTAAGTAATATATTTGTCTCCGATAAACTTATAACAGCCTATATATCAAATGAACAATTTTTAAATTTTATAGATTTATATTTTTATTTTATATTCAGACTAGTTGTAACCCGTCGCGCTGCGCCGGGGATAAAACTTCTTAGTATTTTGATAATAAATATTTACAATATGGTAAGGTTAGACTAATAAATTTATATAATTTATATAATTTACATATTTAATTCTATTTCATCATTTTTAGGTCCTTTAGTTCTGTCTCTTATACACATCTAGATGTGTATAAGANAGGTTCAGTTGTTTTTCACTTTACATTTCGTTTCTTACTCATTTTTTTATTTTTTATTTTGTTTCTGTTTCATATTTCGTTTTTCACTAATTTATTTTATTTTTTTTCAGATATTTTAGTTCTTTCAGTTCTACAATTAATAAAGGTATTTTTTTTATTTTTCTTTATTTTTTTTTATTTCGTTTTTATCTTATATTTCATTTCTTACTAACTTCATTTTTTGTTTACTTTATGGTTTATTTTTTACTTTGTTTCCTCATGATCACTTTTTTATTTTTGTCTCTCATCATTTTTCACTTTATACTACTTCTCATAATTTGTCTCCCATTATTTTCTATTACATCTTCATTTTCCATTATTTCATTTTCTTTCCTATTTACTTCCCATCATTTCTTTTGTCTCTCAATCACTTCTTTTCATTTCCATTACTCCTTTTCGTCTCTCATCACTCCTCTTTATCTTTTATCATTCCTTTTCGTCTCCCATCACTCCTCTTCATCAACATCACTCCTCTTCGTCCCTCATCACTCCATTTTGTCTCTAATCACTCCTTTTTATCTCCCATCACTCCTCTTCGTCATCCATCACTCCTTTACATCACCCATCACTCCTCTTCGTCTTCCATCACTCCTTTTCGTCTCCCGTCACTCCTTTTCGTCTCCCATCATTCCTTTTCGTCTCCCATCACTCCTCTTCGTCCTCATCACTCCATTTTGTCTCTAATCACTCCTTTTTGTCTCCCATCACTCCTCTTCGTCCTCTTCGTCTCCCATCACTTCTTTTCGTCTCCCATCACTCTTTTCGTTACTCATCACTCCTCTTCGTCTCCCATCACTCCTTTTCACTTCTCTTCGTCAACAATCACTCCTTTTAGTCTCCCATAACCCCTCTTCATCTTCCCATCACTCCTTTTCGTCTCCCATCACTCCTCTTCATCTTCCCATTACTCCTTTTCGTCTCCCATCACTCTTTTTCATCATCCATCATGTCCTATTTTTCCTTTTTATTTCCTATCACTTCTCATTACTCTTTTTTACTCCCTTTCTTCTTCTATTACTTTCCATTACTCCATTGTTATTTCATTTTTTTTATTAGTATCTTTCTTTTTGATCATTGTCATTTACTTATCTTTTTTATTTATTGTTATTGTTTTTTTTATTGTATCACTTTATTAAAAATAAATACAGTGATTTTTTTCTTTAAAATCGAAAATGTGGGACTTATATTTTAAAAAATTTCATTTAATAAGATTATTTTGAATAAATATGTTTGCAAAAAAAAATTTTTTAAAAATATCTTCGCAATAAAATTTTGTTTAACCGATAAAAATTAGCTAAGTTAAAAAAATCTAGTTGTTTGCCGATCAAATAAATGGCCTTAACTTTTAAGTTTAAATCAGGCACTGAATCATGCTACACAATTCAAGATTATTTATACAGACTTAATCTAAACGTTAGAAGATCGACATGTATTTTTTTATTATATTACTAAGCGTAAACCCGTCGCGTTGCGGCGGGAATGATACTTGCCCATCAAGTAAGAGAGTAATAAAGAGAGTAATAATAACACACGTCTCCCATCACTCCTCTTCATCTTCTCATCTCCTTTTCGTCTCCCATCACTTCTTTTTGTTTCCCATCACTACTTTTCATCTCTCATCATGTCCTATTTCTCCTTTTTGTTTCCTATCACTTCTCATTACTCTTTTTTTCTCTTTCGTCTTCTATTACTTTCCATTACTCCATTGTTATTTCATTTTTTTTATTAGAATCTTTCTCCTTGGTCATTATAATTTATTTATCTTTTTATTTATTGTTATTGTTTAAATACGGTGATTTTTTTCTTTAAAATCGTAAATGTGTGGCTTAAATTTTAATATTTGCAAATAAAACTTCATTAAATAAGATTATTTTGAATAAATATGCAAAAAATTTTTTTTAAAAAATATCTTCGCAATAAAATTTTAAGTTTAACCGATCAAAATAGTTAAGTTAAAAAATCAGCCATCAGCCGACTAATAAATTTGTACATCATGTGACATATTTGAAAAAAACCCAGGCGGTGATCGGTTAGCAATCCTCCCAAAAAAATATCTCACAATCCCCCAAAAATCAATTATAACAATCTATTGCTATGAAAAAAAAATTTCCCCAATTATAACAATCTATTGTCATGAAAAAAACAATTTCCCATAGAATTTACTAAACCGATCTATTGTTACAAAAAATAAATAAGTAAATTACATGTTAGTCTATTTATATTGAGCCTAAAAATTAATTAGGGAAAATATTATTACTAATAATAATAATAATAGGAATCGGGAAAAAGGCAATTACCGTAGTGCCACAGCGTCAATCCGATCACCGATCCAAATCTAAATGGTTTAAGAATGTGGTTTGGGAAAAAAAAATAACAATGAAGAAAATTGAAAAAAAAAGCGAAAAATAAAATTTGGGGGAAAAGAAAAAGGATAAGGAAAGAAAAAAAAGGAATCCGTAAAAAAAATAAGTACTGAAAAAAATTCCGAAAAAAATGAACAATAAATCTGGTTCAAAAAGACTGAAAAAAAAAATTTTAAAATAAATTAATAATACGGTCTAAAAAAAAAGACCGAAAAAATAATAATATAAAAAAAATCGGTCTTAAAAAGACCAATAAAAAAAATTTAAAATTTTTCAGTTTGGGAAAAAAAACCAATGAAATTCTCGGGTTGGAAAAAAAACCAAACCGAAAGAGAAAAAAAAATGAAAATTTTTTTTTTTAAAAAAAAAGGAAAAGAAAAAGGAAAAAGGTTCGAAAGAGAAAAGAGGAAACTTAAAAAAAAAGAAAGAACTGAAAGTAAAAGATCGATTCAAGGAAAAAAAAAGAAAATTAAAAAAAAGGGAACTGAAAGAATTCAATCAATAATATATATTTTATCGAGTTTTTAATTATCATTAACCTTGTGTTTATCTTAATAATAATATAGGATTCCCTATAATAAATTTATTCCGTGTTTTTTATTCTGTTATTTCCGTAAATGTATTNATATATTATAACTTATTTGATTTATTTAAAATTTTATATCGTAAATTTACTTGAAAATTTAAAGAACTTGCAATAATTTTTAATGTGATAAATTACATATTATATACACATGAAACTTTCGGTACTGTTATCATATTGACGATAATTTTAATTCTGTAAAATCAAGATCAATTTGACTCAATCAGCAATTTCATACTCAATACATTCAGAACGAAGATGATGGTCTTTTGTAATTGCGGATGAGTAATTATTTGTTTATTTTTCTCAAAAGTAATTTTCTATATTCTTGAATTGTTTTCAATTTCATAATGCTGTGGATTCTTTTTTAATAGTTTATTAAATTGATTTGAATAATTAAATATTTCTTCTATTCAATTGCATCTGGTTTATTATCTGGATTTGAATCCAACACCTTTTCATTAAATCAATGCAACGTTTTGGCGCTTCTAATTCAAGCCTATTTCTATTACACACTGAATATTTAATGCTAAATATTGGTCATTTGCACGATCAGAAAAAGGTAGTCTCCAGTTGCTACAGAACACATAACTGATAACCATCCAAAACCATATATATCTACCCTTCCTCTTAACATTTCAGAAGATATTTAAGGCATAACTCTATAAATATTTTTTTCATCAGTATTACCAACTTCTCCACATAATCCATATCTATGAACCATCTATCAGTTCACATGGTTCACTAGAAGTAAAAATTTTTAAACATTACACATGATTTTATAAAACTTTTTCAATTACTTTTCAAACCTATTAATTTGATACACTTAAAAGGCTCGTCATTGGAGCAAAAGACGAATAATGATTATTAATTATAATACTACACTTTGCAAATTATCTTAATAATTCTAGGAGGTATCAGACATTCTATATATCTCAATTGTGATTTTTACATTAAAAACTCTATAATTGAAAAGTTCTACTTGTCTATGGGAGTAAAAATCTATATCCCAGTTCATATCTTCATCTGCCCTTCAGAATTACCCTAATTATTAGTCATTGTATAATAAGTAAGAATTCCACCTGGTGCCAACGTTAAGACACTTATTTAAAGAAAAAATCATGCCCTACAAAATTTACAAAATTTTTAGTCACTATCACCTCATACCATATGAGGTTTACCACCCTTTAATTATGCCTAAGCAGGGAACCTCAGGACACCTGTGTGGCCATCATAGGATCTATAGTAGCTGTCTCTTATACACATCTAGATGTGTATAAGAGACAGATTTTTAGTTACACTTTTTAGGAGCTGAAACATCACAACATACAAAAGAATTTTCATACAGACAATATTTTCACCATATTTGTGTGTTAACAATATTTTTTTAAAATTCAGTATGAGTATTGTCCTAAAATACTATATCGTTATATATATATATATTTTTTTTTTTTATATTGTTGTATTATCTTTATCTATTATTTGAAATCATTGCAATCATGTGGTGTCACGTTAAGACTCCTTTGAATTGTGTAATTGTGTAGCTTTTCTCCCACTCGTCAGTTATATTACAAAACAAAAAATGAATAGTATTCCTAAGGAAAATTTTTGGTTACATTATTTCCAAAAAGGAAATATCGTCTCACGTCGCTTTTCAGCAACAGGGATGTTCCGCCTTTTTTTTATTTTGTAGGTACCTATCTGGACAATTCAACGGTAAATGTTGATCTGTAGAATTTATATAAAATAGTCACCTTTTCTTAGGTGACAATGTCAATAAATGATCGGCAAATTCGTGATGATGAAATTAAAAATTAAAAATGTAAAATTTTTTTAAAAGAAAAGGATCTTTTTTTCGTCATGTGGGAAAATCCAAAAAAACTGAAAAATATTTTTTTTTTAAAAAAAAAAAGAAAATTTGTCATATGGGAAAATTCAAAAAACTGAAATTTGTTTTTTTAAAAAAAACAATGACGATTTCTAATGATTTATATGTGAAGAATTCATTGTACGATTAAATTATTTTTATAGCCTTAACAAATTTTTTATTGGTTTAGTTTAATTTCGTTGCTATAAATCTGTCCTACGCCAATCATTTAATTCAAAATTGTATTAGGATTAGGGCTGCCCAATTAAGCTAATAAATGGCAAATGATGCGCCACTCTGAATCCTATATAAGAATCTGTAGCACAGGGCGCAGGCACATGATGCTGGACGATCCAATTTAAATCCACCTTTTTATGCGGGGTAGTCTAACAGTTACGGGCGCACAGGGATTTTTTTATAGATATAGATATAGATAGATATAGATTTGCCATCGAGCTACGTTAGATTTAGATTCACTACATTTTATGTTTTGTTAATTTAAATACATTCATTACTCAGATCTAGTGATTTAACAAGTTAAAACATTAGGCATAGCAATGTCAGTGATCCCAGAAATGATAATGGAGAGTTGCTTTCGTGATGTGAGATTTTCCAATTTACAATAAAGAACTCTACCTTTTCTGAAAGTAATGTTGATAACACATTATCCAAATTTTCTAATTTAGTCCACATAAGCTTTAAATATTTAGTAAACCCTGGAATAAGTCTTTTTCTAGATCTTCGACTCGAGTCAACTTGAGCAATACGAGTCAAGAATAGTGCGGACTAAAATTGACTATAATTTTGGCCAACCCCGCAGTACGCACCTCATGATCGATCACGTGCACCTGAGTCAAGAATTGGATACGAGTGCGAGTCCAAGCTCATTTGAACTTCCAAAATGGACAGTGTGTTAGATCAAATAATCCTCATCATATACATTTGCATTGGACGATTTTTTTGATAAAAGCTTAACTTTTAAAGTTTTATATGAAACCGAGGACATATTTTCTATAGAGAATACAAATAATAACCATTTATTATTAAATCTTTCTTGACAAGTTTATTCTCGAAGTTATACAGTACATTTTTTGTAGAAAGAACCTTGTGTTCGTTCTAATTATAATTTAGTTTAATATCGCTTTAGATTTGGAGATAGATTCCAACAAAATTAAAAAAGTTAGTAAACCTTTAAACTGTTTTCGAAAGTTTTTTCAAAAACTCACCTAAAAATCTGTCAGAGGTTGAATACCTGACGCGAATCACCTGAGTGAGTATGATCAATAATTTTTTTTGTAGTTTATAAAGAATTTTGATTAAAATTTAATAATTAAAATATTTTGTGAATCAATGAAAAAAAAACTTTTTATTTATTAGAATTTAAAGTTTTTCATAATGAAAATTAAATTTTTTAATTGAAGACTCGAAATTTACAGTAACTAATGATTGCTATCATTTTTGCGGCTAATTTTCAGGTTTAACAAGCTGAAGCATCATATCAAATTACGCGGAAAAAAAACGACATTTACCGGCAACTCTTTCATAACTTCTCATTTTAGCGTAAACGTAATGAAAACGGAATAACAACTTCATCAGCGACCTGACATTTCTTGCATTCTGGTACCCGGCACTTCCATCGAACTAAAAATAGATTTTGATCATCAAAAACATTATTGAATGTTCCATTTACTACATTTCTTCTTTCTTACATTATGTAAATGGACGGTAGACGGTCTTCTGGAGATCTTATGACAATTTTGGATTCTATTCAATGTATTTTATAATGTATCTGTAGTTTATACTTTGTATGAATTCTAATAGATATAAAATACATTTCTTCGCCTCCTTTTTTTTTAAATGATTTGGATTATCAAATACTAATGATCTCATTCCCACCTTTCAATTTTATCAATAAGAAAAATAATTAATGACCCATATTATAAACTTTGAAGAAATCTTAAAAAAAATAGATTATTTTTTCTACTAAGATTGTTTGTTAATTTTTTAATCAAACTCACTCTTTATATTTGAGTTAGGAATAATTAATAATGAATTACAATATTCATAACGAACAGGTATCTCACACATTAACTTTTTTTAAAAAAAAGTCAAACCATGAATTTTATTTGATTACATTAGAAAATAATGAGTATTCTTTTTCTTTTCATATAAAACTTTTATTGTACATGTTTTCTGCAATGGATAATATTAAAAAAGTAGAGTTCAACACGAAAAATTTAAATATTAAATTTTTTCTCAGTTCACTTTTGTTTTAAATTTTACAAGATTTATATTTATTTTATTCGTATATAATCGTAACAAATAATTATTTTCCCTTATTTTTTTTTTAAAAAAAAATATATTATATCGTTAAAAATTTAAATTTATTTGACAATAACGATATAAAGAATTCAAATTAAGATCGACAAGGTCGAGATAAAATCGATATTGTAAACGTTGGAATGTTGAAAATGAGCTCACATTGACGTAAATTAAGTGACATAATCTTTAAACAAAATATGTGTTTCAAATAATAAGAAACTTCGTTTTTATAAATTTCCAAAATGGTCAATCTACAGGTTGTATGTCTTAACACTAAGCCGATTCATAAATCCTAAACTAAATGTAGTTAAATTTTTTTTTGAGTTTATGCATGTTGTGTATCATATGATCTCTATCTATAAATCAATGATACACGGCCTTGTATTTGTACTATCATCGTGTGAAATTGTGTGGAAAGGAAATCTAAAAAAGTTTAAAAACTTTGTTTTTCGTGTGAATTTGGAAAAAATTATTTGTTTATATTTAAGTAAGAAGTAAATTGTTGTGAAAAGGAAAAAAATATTTTTTTTTTTTTTTTATTTTTTTTTTCCGTAATATTAGATAAAAATGTCGAATTCACTTTTGGCCGCAGCATTGAGCGCTGTTACGAATAATACAATTATTACTTATGATGATTATGTTGGAAAAAAAATTGGTGATAATATTTCATATTCAGTATTGGACCAAAAATCACTTCATCAATCTCATTTGGTTGGCGGTAAAGTACCAACATTATCTTCTAAAGGACCTGAAGTATATCATCCTCCTAAAGAACTTAAAATACGTCATCAAGTGTTTACACCCCTTAAAAGTTTCGGGAGTGGTCAAATATTCGTTAATACATTAACTGGTAAAACTATAACACTAGAATTAAATTTTAGTGATACAATTTATAACCTAAAAGAAAAAATTCAGGATAAAGAAGGGATACCTCCAGATCAACAAAGATTAGTTTTTGCTGGTATGTTACTTGAAGATGGCCGTACGTTATCGGATTACAAGATAAAAAAACATTCCACAATACATCTGGTATTGAGACTTACTGGTGGTGGACCTAGTAGTACTACGGCTTTATATATTCAACCTGATCAACTTGCTCCAAGATTTGATTATGATTTTACAAATGTAAATGATAATGGAAAAGCTTTTATGCGAGGAAATTTTGAGTACAAACGACCTTGCGGTTGGAAAAGAGTGGCTCTCAATGTTCTTGATAAATATGAAAATAACATTTGGCTTGGTGTCCGTGGCGATAGAAAATTATTAACGGATTCAGTACATAACGAGTGGCCAGGTATCTATTTATCTATTCTTAATGTTTATTGAATTTTTTTTTTTTTTTTTTACAATAATTTAAATATATTTTATAATTATTAGTCTCTTATCATGGGACTGCCAGTCATAACTGTAAATCAATTGCCGAAGATGGGTATCTCTTATGTAAGAGTAAAAGATTCGCATTCGGACATGGAATTTATTCTACTCCAGATATTGATGTCGCTTCTAAGTATGCTGCTAAATTTACTCATGAAGGGGATAGGTATCAAGTTGTATTCCAAAATAGAATTAATCAAACCAATTTAGTTAGAGTTTCAAAAGAAGAAACCAGAGTTGGTGAATATTGGATTTCGCCTGATGGAATATATTTACGTCCTTATGGTATTTGTATCAAGAAAGATAATTAGTTTCGTAAAATTTTTTTTCTTTTTATTTGTATTTCTTCTCATACATTTTAAATAAATAAGTTTCTAAAACGAATGGTATATTATTTTAATAAAAAAAAGTACTTAAATATTCCTATGCTTGATGTGGTATTGCGTTTATCGGTGATCCCAGAAAAGTTTCCAATTTACAATAAAGGATTCTAACTTTTCTAGATCTTGAACTCGGGCAAGAACTCGGGTCAAAGCCGTAGTGCGGGCTAAAATTGATTATAATTTTGGCCATCAACATTATCGATCAAGTGCGAATTTGACTCAAGTTACGCAGTTTCATTTGAATTAGAGTTCCAATCAGCGGATTGACGGATGGCTACTGTGCATCTAATACTCTTGATTTCGTCCACCATTTGCATTAGGGATGGTCGGTTCAAAACGAGTCGACTCGAGTCGATTCTGGAACCCGATCTTAAATTTAAAAGATTCTGGATCTCTTGGGCTTAAAATTACTTTTAATCATAAAAACCGTTCTGAACTTCGAACCGATTCGAACTGACTTCAATAACCGACTCAAATTGAGTCACACACACCAACTATCATTTGAAGGCCAATCAAAATGTTTTTGATTGATCATCATCACATGCTCTACTTGTGTCTTGCACGTACCTCATTTTTTTATTTATTAGAGCCGATGTGGAACCGAATTACAACCGAGGAACTGACTTCCATCCTTAATTTGCATGGGACAATTTTTGATAAAATCTTAGTTTTATATACTATGAAAAACAAATTAAAGAAATTGTAGATATATTTTCTGTAGAAAAATACAAATACTAAATAATAACTATTTATATATAGTAAAAAAAAAAATCCATTTCAATAAGATCATGCCATTATAGTATTATTTACGAGATATAAATTATATATTTCACTTATTAAATCTTTCTTGGACAAGTTTATTCTCAAAGTTGTTCATTTTAATTTGGCGGAAAGAATCTCGCGTTCGTTCTAATTATAATTTAGTTTAATATCGCTTTAGATATTTAAAAAGCTGAGTAAATCTCAAAAAACTCTTTATTATTGTGATAGATTGATACCTGACGCACATATTCCATAGTAAACCTTTTTTTTTTTTGTTAACGAAATTAATTTTTATTCCATAATTAAACTTGTATATCAGAATAAACTATATATATTATAACTTATTTGATTTATTTAAAATTTTATATCGTAAATTTACTTGAAAATTTAAAGAACTTGCAATAATTTTTAATGTGATAAATTACATATTATATACACATGAAACTTTCGGTACTGTTATCATATTGACGATAATTTTAATTCTGTAAAATCAAGATCAATTTGACTCAATCAGCAATTTCATACTCAATACATTCAGAACGAAGATGATGGTCTTTTGTAATTGCGGATGAGTAATTATTTGTTTATTTTTCTCAAAAGTAATTTTCTATATTCTTGAATTGTTTTCAATTTCATAATGCTGTGGATTCTTTTTTAATAGTTTATTAAATTGATTTGAATAATTAAATATTTCTTCTATTCAATTGCATCTGGTTTATTATCTGGATTTGAATCCAACACCTTTTCATTAAATCAATGCAACGTTTTGGCGCTTCTAATTCAAGCCTATTTCTATTACACACTGAATATTTAATGCTAAATATTGGTCATTTGCACGATCAGAAAAAGGTAGTCTCCAGTTGCTACAGAACACATAACTGATAACCATCCAAAACCATATATATCTACCCTTCCTCTTAACATTTCAGAAGATATTTAAGGCATAACTCTATAAATATTTTTTTCATCAGTATTACCAACTTCTCCACATAATCCATATCTATGAACCATCTATCAGTTCACATGGTTCACTAGAAGTAAAAATTTTTAAACATTACACATGATTTTATAAAACTTTTTCAATTACTTTTCAAACCTATTAATTTGATACACTTAAAAGGCTCGTCATTGGAGCAAAAGACGAATAATGATTATTAATTATAATACTACACTTTGCAAATTATCTTAATAATTCTAGGAGGTATCAGACATTCTATATATCTCAATTGTGATTTTTACATTAAAAACTCTATAATTGAAAAGTTCTACTTGTCTATGGGAGTAAAAATCTATATCCCAGTTCATATCTTCATCTGCCCTTCAGAATTACCCTAATTATTAGTCATTGTATAATAAGTAAGAATTCCACCTGGTGCCAACGTTAAGACACTTATTTAAAGAAAAAATCATGCCCTACAAAATTTACAAAATTTTTAGTCACTATCACCTCATACCATATGAGGTTTACCACCCTTTAATTATGCCTAAGCAGGGAACCTCAGGACACCTGTGTGGCCATCATAGGATCTACGGTAGTATTCAATAACAACAAACTAAGTAAGTGGCATGATATAGGGATATGTGCCACTTCCATAAGCACAGTGTAGATTTATTGCCGTTTTCAGAAATGTTGACATTAGAATGTCGATCATTTCTATAAATCGAACACACCGAACACACACCAAACACAGCAATTAAAATTAAAAAAAAACAAATTTTCCTTTAAAAAAAGCAAAATTAAAACTTTAGTAATATATTTTTAGGTAGTGTGCATAAAAAAATGTATAAAAATTATATTATTTGCATATATGTATTCACTTGTATTTGCTTGTATTTGCCAATGTTCGGTGTGTTCGGTGTGTTCGTTTGTGTTCGGTGTGTGTTCGGTACAAATTTTCATATTTTCAATTTTATTCATATCTAAAA